GCGCAATATGGTTCATGGGGTCACGAAGAGTCAGACACGACTTAATGACTGAACAACAACACTAGGAATTACTTACAAGATGCAGGGTTTGTGAAAAATCTATTAAGGAAGCGTATGCTTATTTCATACAGTATGCTAATAAAGTTTCAAACTACCAGATCCATTTGCAAATGAAAAAACTCAATTAGACCTTAAACTCCAGTTAGAAACAAAGTTACCACTATGTTTCAGAAGCTTCTGGCAAGAGAAAAAGGCACCCCAGTTACAATCCTCCTACTTTGCAAGTTTCAAGAGTAGGATGTTGCAAATTACCATGTGTGCTTTTGATACTAAATGTATCTTGGTGACTGGGATAGCAGTTCGAATAAGCCCTGAGTTGTACCACTGGGCACCATCATAAATTGTTTAATAAATGAATAAATAATCATCCAATAAAAATCTGCCACCAATGTTTAAACATTCAAAAATACTGTTTTAAATATTTCTTTGCCTAATAGTTTTGAGAAAGGCCCAGTTACAGTGTAGATTTTGAAGCAGGAACGTATCTTGACCTTTCACGTTGCCATATACCAAAGGCAATGCATAGAAATGCCACTGTATCAAAAACTAGCTGGTTGGAAACATACATCCAATAGCTTACACTTTGGTTTACCAGATAGGATTACAGTCCTTTGCAAATTAACTGAGACTAAACTCTGTTGTATTCACTGGTGTTTATTTTTGGCCAAATCCAACTTGTAAAACGCTAAACATTTAACAAACGATCATAATCAGCCAGTTGAATGCAACCTTTGTCTGTAATAAGAAATTTGTGTTGCCCTTTAAATTGATAAGATGAAATGGCTTCCCTGTCAAAATTAATGAAAAAATATCCAGTATCTGCTTGATTATTTTCCTCTGCATTCTTTTGTGCTAATCTCCCACAAAAAATGGCAAAACTGGAAAGCTCATTATCATTTCATTGGCTTACCAGAGTAAGGGGAATTCAACCATAAGTGCCATTCTCACAAGACTTCAACTTTTCTGTCTTGCATTCCCACTCCATTTCACAGTAAAATATGCCACAAGGAACTTTGCTTTCTAAATGACCACTTACCAATATAGAGTTTGTTACTGGAAGCAATATTAAATAGTACACCAACTTTCAGTCTGAATTATTCTGTTCTAGAATAATTTCAATTCATTCCTTGATTTCAAGGTTATGGGCAAGTGTTGCTTTATGTTTTTATTGCTATACAGTATCATGTCTGCTTTATCTAGTTCTTCTTGAATTTAAGCTGGCCATGGCTTGCACATTTTAAACTGAAAGATGGAGAATCTTTTTTTTACTTTATAAAATTTGGCACAGAGTCTTGTGTTCTATATTCATGTGAATTGTCTTCTGAAAAGTAAACTAAAGACTAAGTGAATTACTGTCAGGGTGAGCTGTGTGACTGATAATGCAGAGGACAGGATGTTCCTCTGAATCTTTAACATTAGCAACAGGGCAGTTCCCTAGAGGCCATCCGAGTTGCCTGAGAGATGGAAATCATGGCTGCTTCCTTCTCAGCAGCCTTCTCTTTTTGGGAAGTTACCTTGGTCATCTTCATAGCAGGCCAGATACCTTCTGTAAATTTGTTTCAAGATGATCTGTGTCTGCATTATAAATATAAAGCACAACGTCTATAAACAAAGAGGTACAATGAATGGCAGAGTTCTAGAGCTTTTGCCAAGAGAGTCACAATAACAAATAACAAGTAACCTGCTCCTAACCCTAAATAAAAGAAAAGTGAAAGGAAAAAGAGATAGGCAAGACAAATACAGTAGGTATAAATCAGTTGCAATGGACAACATATTCCATATGGCCCAGTAGTTCTATAGCTTAGTCATTTTATTTGTTTGTTTTTGTTTATGGGATTTATAAGGCCGCCCATCTAATGAAGTGACTCTGGGCAGCTATCAGGATAAAAACATCAATATAATATCAAATAGCACAAATAATAAAAGCCCATAAAAACAGAAAAGCAAATAATGGCAGCCAAATGGCAGCCAACTCACACATCTCAGAAGTTCAACTGCCTTCCAAACCCTATTCTTGGAATAAGTTTTATGGAGGGCTAGCAGGGTTGGGCCCAGTCTAATCTTGGGTGGAATGGTGGTTGGAAGGGCAAATGCTGCAATAAAGAAGCCATGCTTCCTGGTCCCTCCAGATTAGTCTTGAATCAGCAGGACCCAGACTATGCCCTTCCTGCCAGATCTGATGGGTAAGGTAGAAACACCTCAGAGAGGCAGTTCCTTAAATATCCCAGCCTGATGCCCTGAAGGTTTGACAGAGCATAATCAGCCCCTTGAATTGCAGCCAGAAGTCTAACATGGACATGTTGGGGTTATTAAGGCAATTCTACTGAAGGAGTATGTTGGATGAAGTACAAATGTCTGCTTCCTTTGAAAATGTAGGGCAAAATTATATTCTTAGAAAACCTAATACAGTTTTTAGTTAGCTCACACTTTTAAAGAAAGTTTGGCATACAAAATCGTAGGTCTTTGTTAAACAATGTCCTACTTTTTCTCAACAGATTCGGAGGATGTTGCAGTTACAGTGACGGCCCTTTTGGCCTGTTTGAACAGCTGTTGCAATCCATGGATCTACATGTTTTTCAGTGGGCACCTCCTACAAGACTTCATGCAGAGTTTCTTGTGTTGTCGAAAAATGAAACAAAGATTGAATAAAGAAGATACTGAGAGCATCAGCAGGAGACAGACTTCTTTCACTAATAATAGAAGTCCAACAAACAGTTTGGATACATGGAGAGAATCACCAAATTTATCATGATCTGTTAACCATTTCAATTTCTTTCTGGACCATTGATAAAACATTGATAGCTCCTTGAGTGCCCAAACAGCACTTTAGCACTTTAGCTACCAGTTATCATGTGGTCAATAAAGTAATAAATTGGCAATAAAATAAAAGTTACCATTTTATGTTAATGAAGGCTATGAATTAATATGTAAAAAGAAAAATGAACGTGTAGTCAATTATATTGATGAGAAATCAGATAACATGTAATATTTTCCCAGACAGATAATTATCATAAACCTTGGCATTAATCTTTCATGAGTTACAGCATTATATACAGTAACAGTTGCCACTCAGTAAGATTATTTGCCCAGTTTTCTCAAAAGTCTTGCTGAAGAACATCCTGGTCTGTCAAAAGTGACTAAATATCCACCTCTATGATCAGCCATTTATCAAAATCCTATTAGAAACTTAAATAAATTGGCTTGATCTACAGCCGTGTAGATAACAAAATTGTGGAATATCCAACCAATATTGACTTTCCCGCTCAGTGAAATATTGGGAAAAATCTTAAACTACAGTGGTACCTCTACTTACGAACGCCCCTACTTACGAATTTTTTGAGATACGACCAGCTCCGGCCCCAAAAATTTACCTCTTACCCCAAAAATTTACTTACGAACTCGCCTCTACTTACGAACGCCCCTACTTACGAATTTTTTGAGATACGACCAGCTCCGGCCCCAAAAATTTACCTCTTACCCCAAAAATTTACTTACGAACTCGCCTCTACTTACGAACGCCCCTACTTACGAATTTTTTGAGATACGACCAGCTCCGGCCCCAAAAATTTACCTCTTACCCCAAAAATTTACTTACGAACTCGCCTCTACTTACGAACAGGATACGC